AGAAGAGACTCATTTAATGCAGAGGAAAGCAGTAAAGAAGGAACTGAGGAACAAAAAATGAAGTACATAAAAGGAAAATAAGAGACAAATACGATCATATTGATAATAATATTAAATACAAATGAATTAAAAATCCAATCACAAGGCAGAGATTGTCAGGCTGTCTTTTAAACAAACAAACAAACAAACAAACAACAAGACCTAAGCATATGCTATTAATATGAGACATGTTAGATTCAAAGATAAAAGTAGGTAAAGTCAAAAGGATGTCAAAAGATATACCATGTAAACAGCAACCATAAGAGAGCTAGAGTGGCTTTAGTAATATCACAGAAAAATTGGCTTTAGTTGTGACTAATAATATACTCCCCACTAGTTGCAACAATAATAGAGAATCTATCTGCTAATGAAATCTGTTGGATGGCAGCCATCAAGGATATAATGAAATTTGAGTAGCTGATGACAAAAAATCTGGTTGTTACTTAGTCTTTTTGTATAACTGTTTACATGCTACTAAAAGCTCACATCACTCAAGAAAACATCTTGTACACAGAAAAAGAATAGTCCTTTACATTCTGGGCTTCAGTTTGTGTGTTAATTTTGGGCCTGTGGCTGAGTGGTAAATCTGCTGAAGCTGCTAGTTCTTTCTGCATATTTAAAAACCAGTCAAATGGCAATAAAAAAAAATCTCTTACTTGTGTACCCTCGGGATAGTTAGTCTAGACAGCAGATATTAGATTCTAAGGTATCTTAGATTTGACAGAACTCCTCTTCTGATTCATGCAGATTAATAAGTACATATATAATTCTAACACAAGGGACATAATCTCTAGAGAAGAAAGAAACTGAATTTCTGATACTATGAATATGCTAGCCTTTAAAGAAAAAAAGCTTTCTCAAGAAATTGCTAACGTGGAAGCATTTTTATGTAAGAATCTAAATCCACAAAATCAAAATGAATCCTTAGAGATATCAAGCCAGTTTGATTATTTTCACTTAAAAATAGTTTCATAAAAAGCACAATGAGATACCATGTCACTTCACGTGCAACATGATGGCTCAACAAAACAAAACAAAACAAAACAGAGAATAACAAGTATTAATGAGTGTGGAAAAATTGGAACCCTTAAACATTGCTGTAAGGCTGTTAGGGAAATTTGTCAATTCTTCAAAATGTTAATCATAGCGCTATTAAATGACTCAATAACTCAACTCTTAGGTATATAAACAAGATATTTATCAACTTATGTTCACAAAAAACAGAGCATTCACCCATGGTTTAGTCTTTAGCTTCCTGAAAGCTGTTTCTCTGCAGCTCTTTTCCTTATACTACAGGGACTATTTTTACTATACTCGAGTGGAACTCCTTTTGATGTACTAGCATCTGTATTTAACATTGATTTGTGAAATTGCAATTTCCTGAAACAAGTTTTATAAGTGCATTAAATAATGATTTTGGGGTGGAGCAAGACTGGATTACAAAATTCCTAATGATCATTGAATATTAGCAAACATTCCCAAATGGTAATGCTAAGAGCAAGAGATTAAGATTCCATGCCTCATGGGGCACCCATGGGTGGCTCAGTAGGTTAAGTGTCCAACTCTTGATCTCAACTTGGGTCTTGATCTCAGGGTCTTGAGTTGAAGCCCCATGTTGGGCTCTACATCCACTTACCAAAAATAAATAAATAAATAAATAAATAAATAAAAAAGATTTCGTGCCCTTGAAAAATAGTATAGTGAATTCCTAGAACAAATTTGGAATAAAAAATTTACAACTTTCTGAATTACCTAACAGTAGTTTTTACAACTTGATGTGTTACTCCCCTGAAGGATAAGTACAACAACATAAGAAATACCTTGAGAAATCTAATCAACTGGGCATGATCCTGGAGACCCACGATTGAGTCCCATGTCAGGCACCTTGCATGAAGCCCACTTCTCCCTCTACCTGTGTCTCTTCCTGTGTCTCTCATGAGTCTGTGTCTCTCATGAATAAATAAATAAAATCTTAAAAATAAAAAAAGAAATATAATCAACTAAACTGCTTATTCAAAGTTCTCCTCTGAGGCACCCTAACATCTCCTTATTGAAACGTTTGTCTATATGTCTGTATTTTAAAACTTTAGGCCCGTATTATCTTTCTGGGAAGAATAAGAGAACAATTCTTGCAGAAAAAAGCAGTCATCAAATTAAACAAAACAAAAACAAAAACAAAAACAAAACAACAACAACAAAAATATCAAGAACAGGAAAGTGAGCCCAGGCAAACTCTAACATTCACTTTTTCAAAAGAATGAAGTTTGAAAACTATGATCATATTCTTTGTCATGACATGGACTAAATGTGGACAACTCTCAGAAGATTTTTTATAATAAAAATAAACATTTAGTACAATCATGAAAGTCATTTTTTAAAATGGTTGATTTTATTAACTTGCTTGTTTTTTTATCTATTGTTTATCTGGTTTTTTTTACACATGATATTTTAAAGGTAGGCATGTGCAGTTTTCACATTTGAGAAGAATGAGAAAATGGTAGGATTCTGTTTTTCATGGTATTGCTGATATTTTCTATAAAATACTCTTAACTTATTTTTTTTACACTCTTAACTTATAAAACCTGACACTTTTTGTGAAAATAAAGATTAACTAGAAGTGTAGCAAGTTCATTTTTAGTTTCTATATTTGTAAAACAATCCCTCTCACCCAACCAAAAAAGAAATACTGATGAAAATTTATGGGAAATCCCAAAGAAATTTAACTTGGAGGATTCAAGGAAGCTGATTTACCAACAACAAAGTGTTCATGTTATCAAAGGAGTTACCTAAATTTCATACTCCAGCACCAAATAGAGAGTAAAAACAAAGTCAAAAGCAATTTAAACAAACTGTGGGGAATTCTACACTATTCCTATATATTTAGGCATGGGAGTGAGCTTTCAGGGAAATAAGTAACCATAATCTTACCTATGAGAGTATGCATTTATATAAAACACTCTCCTATTATAAGCTATCACATGTGTCAATTGCAAAGTGATTATGACAGCCATTTTCCTTATAAGCAAGTACATAATCCTTCAAGTTATTAAGGGAGGTGATTCAGGCTAAGTGAAGTTTTAAAATAAAATACTGCCAGTCTGCAAAAAATATGATCATTAATACTTTTTGCTGGACTTAATAAAAGGCATATTTATATGTTAGCTATCTTTAGGCTTCATATCATACACACTAGTATTTTAGTCATATTTATTCACCAATTTAACAGACTAAGCAAAATTCCTTATTATTTTATTGACCAAGATGTAGATTGTTTTTAGAAACATTTTATTTACCCTTATTCCTCTTCCTTTTCCACTCACACCAACACATACACTGTAAATTATCATTTCTTTACCAAAAATAAAAGAGCTCAGAGAAATAAGAAAAGAACCAACAAGCACTTTGTTTACTATTCGGTTATTCTCTTTAACTCAACTAAAACAAAATCTGGTTTCAGTTTCCTTGGATTCAAATGGGAATTCCTTGAACAACTTCAACAGACTGAAAAGGGTTTCAATGAAATTATGACAAAGTACTTAAAAATAAGTGGTAGATATAAGCATTCTAATTAAAGAAAATAACTGAAAGCGATTGTATTTTATAGGTCTTTCCACTCCATTTTTAGCCTGAGAACCACAAAATGTACCTGAATGCTCATTACACAGTCAGTAATCATAATAAGTACAAAAAAACCTACCATTACGGGAAGTGTTGCCCAAGCGACAATGAATCTGCCCAGCCCTAGAAGAGTAACTGAAGCCTTATACCACCAGGCCTATAAAGCACCAGCATTATTATTTACTTAAATGTTTATTCTTTAAAGTAATTTAAAATTATCTACATTTCAAATGCAGATTAACTCAAAGTAATATTCATTAAACCAAAGGTGTGATATTCTAGTTTGATATTTTTTCTAATACAGTATATTAATATGTTAAAATAATACCCCCTAAGATGATCTCACATGTCACCAATGGTGCAGGCAAACACATTTAGTGAAAACTAACTATCCTATATAATTCTCAACCTGATTCTTTTCTCAGAGAAAAAAAACTGATGAACATATATTAGCATCAACATTAAAATATTAATGTTCAGCTTAATGTCGTGCTTGCTATGTATGCACTATAGTATACAACATTTAAATTTTAAAACAGTTGAAAGGCAGCTGAGTTGATATATTGAACCCAAAATACTCATTGCCTCAGTCTCATATTGGGAAGTTACTGAGCTTTGGGGAAATTGTAATTTACACCAAGTGAAACTATATAGTTTGCGTACAAAAGACAGGTTGACTGAACATTCCAATTGGATCCTATCTTCATAAGTCTAGCCTCTGTGGTTTCTATAGCTGGTAAGAGTGAAAAGTGACCTTTTACTACCCTAGAGAGTATTTTCTATGCATGAGAGAGGAAAAAGGGGGCAAAATGTGATTCAGTAGGACAACTCTGCCACTTGTGTTCCATAGAAAAATCATTTTATTTTGAGCTTTTGATTTTAATTTGACTCATTCTTGGCACTAAACCAGTATATTCAATTTCTTCTGCAATAAAATTTCAAATCACCTGCCTATGCATCTACTGAGTGCTGAGAAAGGTACAACCTATTGGAGTTTGTTTTTCCAATGAGTTTATTCCATATTGCAGATGGAATCATCATCAAAACTCAGAAAGCTAAGAGGACAAATTGGTTCACAATGACTTAAGTTATAAATGACTTAAAACATCACTGTTCCCATGAACTCAAACTACCCATACTTTACCTATTAATATAAAGCTCTGTAATGCCCCTAGATATTCATTTTATTTATTTGTTTTCCATGAGAACAGGGGATGAGCTTTTCCTAGCACATAATTTCTTTGTGAAATTATAGTGACTAGCAAGACTAGGTGAAACATTCACTTAATAAAGTTCACAACATTATAATAACAAATGATAGAAAAGAAAGCATGGATTCTAACCACTTTGTCCTCCTTTGGGAAAGCATCCAAGGAAGCAGAGCAAAAAGAGAGGAAAAAGAAGAAGAGAAAAATAAAAAATAAGGCACATATAATAAATAGATTTAAAGAGAACAATCATGTATTATTTTAAACTGTTAAAACACAGTTATTTTAAAAAGTAAATGTTTATTCTGCCCCAAAGTATTCATTGTTCAAGCTTTCATTGAAAATGAATACATACAGATCCTGTATATAGAAGAAGATACAAAAATTGAGTACTATAATTTCCAAAATTTTTAGAACTTGGATTATTACATGTATATTTAAAACATTATTCAGAAAGAAATCTTAATTACTATTAATATTATTGTATGAATATATTTTTGATTAAAGATTAAAGCAGTGCTTTCTTTTATTTTGTTCTTCTGAATATTTTTTGCAAATGGGATGAGTTTAGTAAAGACAGATTGACCCCATTAGGCTTGGATGTCTACTCCAAAGCAGAGTACCTCTTAGCTCAATTTCTTTTAAACATGAGTTTAACCCAAGTAATTGTAATATATCAATATTTAACTGTATTGTTGTCAACTTTCCTCAAACCTATAAGTAGAAAGTTAAAAACATTCAACAACATAAGTTCTCTGTCAGTAGTTACACTCTGCTGATTCGCACACTACTACTTATTGCCCATACCTTTCGAATTGGACAGTACCCCTATACCAAATGGTTTGTTAAATACTTTAACTATCATGCCCAGGTCTCATCTGTGAGAATTCATTTCAAACCAGTGCACTTAAGAACACTAATTAACAAACAGGTCTTGTGTACCTTTTTATGTGCCAGGTGCTATTTTAACCCAAAGTTGTTTTAAAAAGCTTTAACATAACATATGAAAATTAACTAAAGAAATTTTAGGAGGAAAACTTATTTGTTAATCAGAATAGTACCTAAAGAAAAATTAAATAAATATCATAAAGACCTAGATTTTAATTATCATAATAATCATATACAGTAATTATTATTATCCAGTTTCATAGATAAAGAAACTGTTGTTCAGAGAAGTTAATTATCTTCCCAAGGCCACGAAGATAACAGTGGGCTCACCTTAAAATATACAATAGATCTATTTTACTGAATATCTTAATTCCACTGGAAGAGATTTTTAGAATACCCTACTTGCAATTCAAATACACTACCAATGAATACAATGGTGATAGGGAGGTTGATTTTGATTTTGACTATGATTTTCTCAATTAGGAAAATATCAAAAGCGCTTACAGCTTCCACATTATTTTTAAATATAACTTTGTACTATGTTAAATTGCGTATGTAATTAAATAATATATGAAATAACTTAGGGAAATACTGGGAATTCTTCAGGTACATGATAATCTTAACTGTTCTGTACTACATTGCAGATCTATATCAAAGAAAACTCACCCAGCCATCCCTATAAATAATTCTACTGTACTATGATATGGATTATAATAAAGTACATTAAAATGTATTCTAAATTATTAGAATTTATTTAGTACTTCATCAATAATCATATTTAAGAGGACTAAATATGATTGTATATATTTAAAGCACTGGCTTACCAGAAGACCAGCTCTTATTTAATTAAGCCAAACAAGGAAACTTCATTGGATGAAACTAAATAGAGGAATAGAGAAGAAAATAGTGCAAAAATCCCCCCAATTTAAAAGAGTGTGTTTTGACATACTCTTTAAATATCCAAATAACTTCCATTAGAGAAACTTAGCACTACATTACTTTACTGTGACAATAAATAGGAAATTACTCTCACAGAAGCTCATCATTGCTTCATACATATTATCTTGGTTTAATTTTAATGCCACGCAGTTTACCTTATATTTTACTTTCATTCAATCTGAAGCAGTTGCAGAAATGAAACTTTTTTTTTCATTTTACAAGAAGAACTGGGCATAAATACTTGCAAGAGTTTTATAATTCATGATACTAAATATATATTTACTACCCTCCTCAGAAAATTTACTCCCACAGATAACCTGTGGGTTTTGAATGGGAATTGCTTATTGAGATACATATGGAAAATACCTTTTTATGAATTGTTTTTATCACTGCTCCACTACTAGGAACCTCATGAAAAACAGAAAATGGGGACGGGGAACATGAACGTCTACATTTATGCCCAGGTGTGCTTTCTAACACGCATGTGTTTTCTGCTTGGGAGGTGCACTGCTTTTCCCTCTGCACTCAGAGTGCCTTGCACACTCAGGGAACACTCACGTTGTTGGATCGCAGAGACACACGGCCTCCACAGCGAGCACAGAACTTGGTGCGGCAGTAGGAGCAGAGATGGCCACACCCATCAGCAAACTTTGTCTTATGACAGATTCCGCAAGTCGGAGCATCATCTTTGTGCTCTCCCTGGTAACGCCGTGCTTCTTCCCCTATTTTTCTCACTTGTTCTTTATAGCTTTCAAATTGTTGATGCAATCTCCTGGGCAAAACAGAAAATGGTAGCAAACTAAGTGAATGATGGAAGACAAAAAATAAAAGCAATTTTTCCTAACAGAACAGTGGTATAGCTATTTGAACTAAATCAAAACATACAAGGCAATTTTGCCACTAATCTTACCTCCAACAGTAAAAAATGTATTTGCGTGTGTCCCATTGGTTCCAACTGTGCTTACCAGCAATGAACCATATATAAATAGACTCTATATAATCACTGTTTTGATCACAACAGTGGGATTCATGCATCCACTCCATGCCTCCGCTTCTTTGAAACATGTGGCTTTCAAAGTATTTGGACTGGGGAACTCAACAATTTACAATTATACTCATGTATGTATACAACTGAAGCAAAAGTTATACAAAATCCTTAGTCTAACTATATATGATGTACTCTGGTATATTCTATTTCATTCTATTTTAAGTTTAATAGTGATTACTAATAAAAAAAAAACTTTGTCATAGCAACTTGATTCCATGGCCCACTATTTGAGCATGATGTATACTTGGAAAAATACTGTTTTAAATTACAATGCTATGCTTCTGTCTTCCACAGAATATCTTTCTTTACTCCTCTCCTTGGAGATTATTTATATATTCAGTGTCTGATTTCATACAGTATACAAAATGTTACCTTATACATTATAATTGAGCTCACTAGTCTTTCCACATCACATGAAAAGTTCTAATCTAGGGGATCCCTGGGTGGCTCAGCTGTTTTGTGCCTGCTTTTGGCCCAGGGCATGATCCTGGAGACCCGGGATCGAGTCCCACGTTGGGCTCCCTGCATGGAGCCTGCTTCTCCCTCTGCCTGTGTCTCTGCCTCTCTCTATCTGTGTCTCTCATGAATAAATAAATAAAATCTTAAAAAAAAGAGTCCTAAACTATACTAATATTCATATTTTTACATACTCCAACTTTCCTTGATCTCTTTCAGGTTATATGTATGAGAGCTGCTACCACTCTTTATTTAACGCATGCAACCAAAATTGTTGAGATAAACCATTTCCCATAAGAATGATCACACTTAATATGATTCAAGTCTCTTCCTCTCCCCATCAGCCCAAATCCCCCAATCTTAGATTGCTACAAATAAAAACTGTTTGCTGTTCTATACAGAATACTATGACATTCAGTGAATCCCCCAGTAAAAGAATGCCTTAGTTTTGTAAATGAGAACTGAAAGAGTTGTCCCAGGCCTAACCAACAGTAGTGGCTATTATGACAAAGGAGAAACCCCTGGGAAATTCATCTGTGCACCCGAGTGAGCGTGCTGGATGTGACTATTTCCTTGGACACAGAGTACGCACACATGCTATAGTTAATATAGGCAGTTAGCTTGATTCTCTACACCTAAGATAACTGTGGGAACTGGTACTCCCTGGAAACTGAATCACAAAAGTTAACTGTTAGGACTGTAGTGTTTGAAGTACTGAGATTTCATTCTATTTTCCTTTTAATGTCAACACCTCTTGAACAGAATTTTAACGATTACTTTAAAAATTTTGAATTCTCTCTCCTGCTTTGCCAACTGACACTTTTTCTATTTAATTCCCATAATTAAAGCAATCATACTTGCTCTAGAAAATAAAGTAGTTTAGAATCTGAAGCCCTTCTCGACCTAAAGGCTAGCCAATTTCAGTTCCTAGAAAGAAATAGTGATCAAGCATATCTGATTGACTTGAAGAGTGAAGTTATTTCATACATTAAATTTTTTATACCTTAAGCACCATTAATCTAGGCTCAAGTTGGTAGAAAACAACCATGGACATCTATTATTTCAAAAGTAACCTTACAAAATAGCATTGGAAATCTTAAGACTTCTATTAAAGAAAATAATTATTAAGGAGTGGGAACAAGGAAATACCTCCAATCAAAGAAACAGATATAAACTCTAAGCACAGAGAGAGTGTGTGAATAAATATTGTGAAAACTAGCAAATCAAATTTATTTAAGTAAATATAAATGAGAAAGCCAGACTAAGGAAAAAGCTTCCCTATAAACTTACTTTGAAATCTAGTATATGATTTAGTCTGGGTGTTGGCAGACTTAATATTTCTGCCACACTGTAAATATGTTAGACTTTGGGCTGTATAGTCTCTTTTGCAACTACTCAACTCTATTGTAGCATGAAAGTAGCACAGATAATATGCAAATAATAAGCATAATAAATGTGGCTCTATGTTCCAATAAAACTTTATTACCAAAAGAGACAGTAGGCCAGATTGGGCCCGTGGACCAGTTTGTCAGCTCTAGATTTAGCATATGCTCTATACTGAGGGATAATGATTTAAAATCCATTGTTTATAATTTATTAAAAACATAACCATATATTGTGCATGCACTCTGTGATCAGTGGTTGAACCTATTGCACATGCATGACCCATAGTCCTATATCATTACCGCAGCTCTCTCCCCGTAGCTCTCTCCCTCTGACTATTCTCATCAAACTCTACTATACATCGTGTCCTCACATGACTGATAAATTACAATAAACCCAAACTTATTTAACCAAAATTCAAACATCGAAACTTTTACCCACTCCTCAAAGGTCCCATCAAAAATTGAACCCACCACTATCCAAATAAATAAACATACATCATGGCACTGACCCCATCGAGATAACAACTGCACATGTCATAGCAAATACCTTAAATAATTACATCATTAACAATAAAACTATAACTGTAAAAACGTATAACATCCTCAATCCATACGACAGCCTTCACACTAATACCAAACAGTCCAAATATTAAAAACCAGAGTATCCCAAACTAAACATCCACCATCCTCGATATCAAAACAAACTATCTACACTGAAAGACAATATTACATACTAATAACATAGTACCATTATATCGAACACATAACAGACCATAACCAAAGACCTACAAAATATCGATCCTACCAAACCACATCACCCCACCTCTCAGCACAACCCTCCGCCAAAACCAATAGGATATCTAATTTTCTCCTACAGCCACACCCCCTTCTCCCCCACCCACTTCACTATTCGATCCTCTCCCGCAAAAGAAAAAAACAACAAAAACAACAAACAAAACCCCCCCCCCCCCCCCCCCCCCCAAAAAAGAGAACCCCGTGCAAACGCCCCCCCCCCCCCCCCCCCCCCCTTTACCTCCCTTTAGAAATGACGATGCTGAGGCTCTGGGACCGAGAACTTAACTTTTAACTTTCATACAAGTGAGCAAAATAATGTTGTAGTTAGGTACCCACCAAAAATAATTGAAATGGAGTGTGTGATTGCCAAACTGGTAGAGGGAAAAACATGGAACAAGAAAACAGTCAACCCATAGAGGACAGGAGTTGAAACAAACACACACAGACAAAGCCGGACAGTTATAAATTATGGCACACAATGGTAGAAATAATCCAATACTTCAGGAGCCACACAGTACATGTAATGTAATGGACTGCAGCATCATTAAAAGACAAATCCAACATGTTAGATTTTTAAAGATTTAGCTAAATGAAGTTTAGAAGAGATATAACTAAACTGTAAAGGATATTTAAAAGAAAAGAATGAAAAATAATACATCCCCGTAAAAAAATAAGGAAAACAACAACAAAACTGGGATCATATTTATGGAAAAAGGCATTACTAAAGATAAAAAAGTATTTTAAACAGTATTAATTTCATTTCGTACAAGACAATTCTAAACCTAATTGCATATAATAACGTATAAAGCCAAAAAATGATAAAACTACTAAGGTAAAGAAATCCACCTTCATAGTATACTTTTATAAATCTGTCTCTCTCTGTAATTGACAGGCCAGACAAATAAAAAATAAATGATAGAGTATATTTAGACATTATTAACAACTTTGCATATTTATATGTATACGTCTTTTCCAGTAGAATAAAATTGTTAAGCTTATTGAGTACAGTACTTATTCATACATATTTATTGTGCTCAGTGGAAGAAGACTTTTTTTGCATACAGATATGAAATTTTTCAAGCTCTGGACCTCAAAAGTACTGAAAATGTTTTCTTTCTTAAGCTGAGCAGTGGGTGCATATTGTATGTTTTATTCTTTGTCTTTATATTTTACATTTATGTTATACAATATGCTTTTGCATGTATGAAGTATTTCATATTTAAAAAAAGGAAAAAGTCAGTGCTATCTCATCAAATATCATTAAATAACAAATGAGTGCCATAAAGAATTGGAGAAAAACAATATATATGAGACAACATTGAAATCTACAATAGAGCTCACCATTTATGCCTAATTAATTTAAAGAAGAAATGCATATGTTTAAATATATGATAACTTTATGAAGTAAATTCCAATCTTATTGATGACGAAACTAATTTTTGTAGAGGGCTGTGTTTTTCCTTCCCACCTGAATATATCATGAAAATTCGCATACTTCAGGTCTTGCCTGAGCCCATATAAAGCATGACACTTGCAAATGAAATGTTTCTGAATGCAGGACAGTTTATTATCAGGAAATGTCACATTGTGATTATGACTGGTTGATGGTACATGACCAGAAGCTGACTATGGAAAAACATAAAGCTATGCTGATGAAATCAGGCCATGAAACTTCCATAGACCTATTATTTCTGCTCAGTAATAGTTTCATTTAGTTTTCAACTCCTGTACAGTTTTTATTCCCAAACTCTTTTCTCCAACTGCTTCAAGCTACTGGGTTCTCCTAAAAGACTCAAAATACTATTTTGGTGATTTATGAACTCAATGTCAATTCCCAACTGAACAAATGCTTGTGCAGCTTAGGCTATGGGGTTTCCCAAGACACGACAGGTGAGCAGGCAGCAACATGTCCTTCTCCAGTAGTCCATGGCAAGAAGGTTGGTAAGATAAGGCTTCTCAATTGAGGTATGACAGTGAGGTACCTAGGTTCTCACTTTCTCCATGGGACATTTTAGGGGAGAAGTTTTCTTCCAGTCTCTCTTCCAGTGGAAGAAAAACTCAGCCTTCAGAGTAGTTTGTAAGGATGGC